ATTATCTCAGGCTCCTGCCTCTCGTATTTTCCCTGCGTGTCAACATCTGTTACACCTCTGCCTTTCACAGCTCTTCAGGCTTTGCCCCCCCCGAGCCTTCGGCGCTCGGAGGAGAGACCCGGCCAGTGCTCACCCAGGGCTTGGGCAATTTTCTAAACTAATCCAAAGCACAATTACCAGGGAAATTCGGCTCGTGGAGGTGTTCCTGGCATCAAACAGGGAGCGGTGGATGGGCTCAGACCTAAGGAAACCAGGCAGGTTTAGAGCCAGACTTGTCTCTGTCAGAGTTGGTAAGTCTGGGGTGCTGTGAGGCTGCAGCTCTTTGAGAAACATGTGGTGGGTGGAAATGTGTCATGGAGAGATATTTGGTTCATTCCCACTCCTTCAGTTTGCTCATGCAAGCCTGGAGTAATTCCAATCAAACGACAAGCCATAAAATCCTCTGGGGATGCTCATCTTCAAAATCACAGAATCCTGGAATGGTTTGGGTTGGAAGGGACACTTTCCACAGGCCCAGGTTGCTCCAAGCCCCGTCCAGGCTGGCCTTGGACACTTGCAGGGATGGGGCAGCCACAGCTTCTCTGGGCAACCTGTGCCAGGGCCTCCCCACCACCACAGGGAAGGGTTTCTTCCATATATCAAACCTAAATTCCCCCTCTTCCAGTTAAAAGCAATTCCCCCTTGTCCTGTCACTCCAGACCCTTGTCTCAAGTCCCTCTCCAGCTCTCCTGGAGCCCCCTTAGGCACTGGAAGTTGCTCTAAGGTCTCCCTGGAGCCTTCTGGAGCAATGCAGACAAGGAGAGACGGGATGTTCTGCCCAGGCCGTTGCAGTCAAGGGGCTCTGCTCGTGTGTCTGATGCAGAAACATCCCTGGGGATCCCAGACCAGGTTGGGACCTTGGGCAGAGCTGGGTGATTGGGCACTTCCCAAAATAAACTCACCAACTCTTTGGGGTAGGATTCATCCCACTGGCTCCTCCTCCACCAGGGGCAAGCTGGGGTTCCCTTGGCTTCTGAGGAGAATGTGCTGAGCCTGGGGCTGGAGGGAGGGAACATCCTCGGAGTGCTGGGATCCCTCTGGCTCTGCAGGTGGATCTTCCCACACTCTCCCCACGATGGAGACTCCTGGAGAGGTGCTTTCCTTTGTGGGGGAAAGCCACGGCCCTGAGCATATTGCCCCACATCCCAGGGATCAGCCTGAATCTCAGGGATCAGCCCCACATCCCAGCAATCAGCCCGAATCCCAGGGATCAGCACTGGTGCTGCCAGATGGGCATGGACAGGCAGCTGCCCACCAGCCATCAAACCCTGTCCTAAAGCCATTGGGAGAATCCCTCTGGCTTAAGTCATGCACTGGCCTGAGTATATTAAATACTCTGTGTATGTTAAATACCCTGCATTTATTACATCCCCTGTATCTATTGAATACCCTGTGTATATTAAATACCCTACATATATTAAATACCCTGTGTATATTACATCTCCTGTATATATTGAATACCCTGTGTATATTAAACACCCTGTATTAATTACATCCCCTGTATATATTACATCCCCTGTGTATATTAAATACCCTGTGTATATTAAATACACTATATATATTACAACCCCTGTATATATTAAATACCCTGTATATATTAAATGACCTGTATATATTAAATGACCTGTATATATTAAATACCCAGTATATGTTACATCCCCTGTACATACTGAATACCCTGCATACATCCAGTATCTGGTTCAGTGGGACACTGGCTGTGGGTGGTGGCTGCAGGATGTGTTTGGGAGCAGTGGGAAGCACAGCCATGACACAGAATTTCACCCCAACATGAAAAGCCTTTTGCAGGTAACTTCCAGGCACTTCCCTGGATCACGTTCCAGACAAACTCCCGTTATATCCGAGCCAAAGGCTTTCTGCTCCCGACCCTCAAACTCCTAATTTATGCTTTTTTTATTATTTTCTTCCCTCAGCCGTGGTCTGCTCCCCTTCCCTGATAAAAATTACAGCTTCCATTTATCATTTTTCCAAGGGTTGCTATAAATCCAGCTTGTCCCATCCTTCCCACTTCACCTACACAAACTCTCTGCCCATCTCCCTCTGCAGGTCGTGTTACTGCTGTGTCCTCACATATCCCCTTCCCACAGCCTTTTTGGAGAGGGAGGAAAAAGTGAACAATCAAATAATCCCCAAATCCTGAAATCTTTCCAGGCCATCTCCAAAGCTGCAGCATGGCTGGTATTCCACACAAATAAAACTTGTGGGTTTTCATGGTGGAACTTCCTGATTTATTTCCTTTTCCTTTTTTTTTTTTTTTTCAAATAAAATGTTTTCATTTTAATTGCAAATAAATTATTTTAAAGTAATTAGCAGCAGCTTGGAGAGGCAGGAGTGACACTCCTCGTCCTCAGAACCCATGGGACCAGGGGTCACTTCAGGAGGCTCCTGCCTGTTTTCTCCCAAGCCATTTCCAGATTTAACTTCCCAAAGGTTTGAGCTATTGAACCATTCCCGCTCTCCAAAAACAGCTGATGGAAACAAAAGACTTTCCTGCTTGTTGTATTCTGTCAGTAAATCCTCCTTTTTCTCCGTCTCAGAGCACAACTTCCCAATTTTTTCCATGAACAGAAGAAAAAGGTCAAGTATAGAGTGGTCAGTACCTGGCATGGGAGTTTGCAGAACCGGTTTCAGGAGGAAAAAAGAGGAATTTTTGCTGAATCCTGGAATGGTTTGGGTTGGGAGGGACCTTAAAGCTCCTCTCATTCCACCCCTCTGCCATGGGCAGGGATACTGGACCAGGTTGCTCATGGGGAGCTTCTTCCAAGCCTGAACACAAGGAGAGAAGACAGTTAATGCCAACATGAAAATGTGACCAGTGGAGAGGAATTTTTGGGAGACCCTACTTCAGCCTTTCTTTTTAAATCCAGCACTTAAAGATGCTGCTCTGTCTTAAACATGATTTTAAAGCACTAAGCTCTGGCAGTTCTACCCCACAAATGCGTGACCTTGGATGACACCGACCTGCCAAAAAGGGAGGGGGGAAAAAAGAGGTGTTGCTGATATTTATTTATTTTATGCTCCCATTCCTCATCCATCATCAGGTAAATTCGCTCTTGGCAGCACCAGCAACTTCCTCAAAGGCAGCCAAGGTGACCACTAAAATTAGCATCAAATCCCCAGAACGCTTTACATCATGTACACGTTATTTTTCACTGGACATAAATTGTGAGGTGTTTGGCTTTTGTTTGGAACCCCCACGGGGTCGGGTTACCCCGGGCATCGCTCCGCGCCGGGGACGGAACCGGCCGGGGCGACCGACTCCAAATGTGGAAGTGAAACGGTTTTATTCCGCTGGAGAAATGTTCTCAGTCCTCCCCGAGATGACAAAAACGTCTGCAGAACCAGCACTGCCCGAGACCTCAGACAGTAAAACTCAATTTTCATCCTCTCTCATAAATTTTTTTTCTGCTTAATGAGAAGTCCTGGAGGAGCCCATTTCCCTGTCAGAGCCAAGGAAAATAAACGTGTGCGTGGTTAAACGGGAACGGGAACGACCCTTCCCTGTCCTGGAGCTGTTAAACAGCTGCATCCACAGCCCTGCTGGATCCTCCTGCCTCCCTCAGCCCCAGCTGGGGGAGCACAGGATGCTCTGGCAAAGGGGGATTTTTCATCACAGGATCACTGAGGTTGGAAAAGCCCTCCGGGATCACCGAGTCCCCCCGGTGCCCCATCCCCACCCTGTCCCCCAGCCCAGAGCACTGAGTGTCATGGCCAGTCCTTCCTTGGGCACCTCCAGGGATGGGGACTCCAACCTAAGCTGGATGGGCTTTTCCAACCTCAATGATTCTGGAATTCTCATCCCAAGGCAAGACTTGGAGCAGAGAAGTGAAGCCAGGCAGGTAGTGCTGCTGGGAGGAGTAATTAGTGAAATGCTCATGAAGTAGCATCATCCAGGGATTTCCCAGCTCACCTGGGCAGTGTCCAAGGAGCCACGAGGTTGGAGAGATGGAGAACAGGGAATGGGACACCTGATTGTACCCGAGCCTGGAGAAGGGCAGTCAGGACTTGCTCCATGACAGGATCCAGTGTCCACAGACCTTGTCCTTCTCATCCTCCTTGTCCTCCGAGGGAGCTGCAAAAATAAAAGTGGGGAGAAAAAACCCCATTGGCAATGGGGAGGTGGAAATTCCCTGCAGGGATAACACTGACTGTCCCAACATCCCTGGGATTGCCCAGCACGGTGGGTCCAGGTAGAAACACAGAGTCATGGTTGGAAGAGACCTCTGAGATCATCGAGTCCAACCATAAACCTTAAAAATGTCAGGGTGCCAATTAGCTAATGAGCCAGGGGCTCGTTAGTTATTGCTAAAGGGGGGCTGGGGAGGGGGTGCACTAGAGGGCACTGTCGCCTGCAGATCCTCACAGGGAGGACACAGAGGATTTTTAAAGATGTTGTGATAACCCCCCTCTGCATCCTGACCTTTGGAGTGAGTGACTGGGCCACTGCTTTGTAAAAAAATTATATATATATATATAAATATATATTTGAAATATATATATTTAATCCTGCCATATATATCACATAATATTATATATTCTATATATATCTCCTACCTATATATTTATATATTAAATATAAGGATATTTAATATCATATCATAATATATTTAAAAAATAATCTGCTCAGGCTGCTGAGAGAGGCTGTGGGAGATCTGTGGGTGCAACATCCAAACCTTTGCTCCCTGACTGTTGCAATAACATGTTTTTTTAGCATGTTTCAACCCACTCAGTCTTGTGCAGGGTCCAAAAGTAGCCAAGGAATTTCCTGGGCTGGAGAGGGTCAGCCCTTTGGAGGGTGCAGCAGAGCTGTGTGTCTGGATTCCTCCTTTACAGGTGGGATTTGTTTGGGATTGTGCATCAGAGTGACAGTGAGAGGGGAGGGAGGCAGAGGGGTTGCACGTGGAAAAGTCATGGAGCGTGTGCTCACGGGCAAAAAATCGCTTGTTAAAGAAAATAAATGAAGAAAAAGGCAATTTTCCCCCTGCAGCACATCCTGCCCGGGCTGGGAGCGGGGGCTGTGGTGGGAGCAGCCAGGACTGGAGGGAGCAGCTCTGATTTCCAGGGATGAAGCTGCAGGGACACAGACAGGACAGAAATTCCCCGTCTGGAGTTCAGCCAGGACCTGCTCTGGCTGCCACCGGGCTCCGAGCAGGGGCTGGTCGGGATTTGGGGTCAGCCCTGTTTGCAGAGGGAAAGATTAAAGGCCTTGTGGACTCCTTGGAAATCCCTGGTTGCAGCAGCTCTGGGGACTGGAGTCAAATCAATCCCAGACTGAGACTGACCATTAGCGGAGACATTCAGGGGAAAAAAGGGGGAATATTTCATTTGCCTCCCGGAAATGGCGATTCCCGAGTTCCCAGTGAGGCTGGAGAGGGTCTGTGGGCTGGGACATTCCTGAGTGACCTCACTCCTCTCTCCCACCCCCAGAATTAGCCATAAAGGCCAAAGGGACAGAAAAATTCCTGATTTGGATCACGAGACATCCCATCTCACCTGAGCTGCACCTCTGGAGTGTGGGGACACTGGGAATAGCTACAGCTCAGCCTGCTCTGGATCCGAGATCTCCCGGGAGAGCTCATGCTGTGGGTGAGGAGCTGCTCCCACATGGACCCCGTGGTGGAGCATCCCTCAGGAGACCACAGCTACCCACACACTGCACACCCCCGCTGCTGGAGCCAACCCCAAACTTCCCAGTGTTTGCTCTGATTAAATGACCACAGGCAAAGAACTTCCCACCCACCTGGAGATTCCTTCAGGAATGCTTTCGTTGGGGTGTGGAGGGTGATTTTAGCAGGACGAGCCGAGGAGCGCAGGCAGAAGAAGGTGTAAGGTTTCCATGGAAGCCACATGTTCCTGTTGCTGGTTTGAGACCCAGCAAAACTGGGAGAAACAGCTTTTTGGGGAGGGGACCCCCAAGATGGCCCCATCAGCCTGGTGCACCTCCCCGCCCCCAGCCAGCAGATCTTATCTCCCAGAGATTTATTTCCAGTCCTCTTTTCAAGACATGATGTCAGGATTCTAATAACCTGACTAAGGCAAGCCCTGGATGGAATTACCATTGTGTTTATCAATTTCCTTCTTCTTTTTCTTTTCTTGTCTCGATTAATCATGGAACAGCCCGATGGAAAAGTCCTGTTAGCCCGAGCTGCCTCCCAGCCAAGGCAGGCCTGGTCCCTCATCCCCCGTCTTCTGTTTCATCCAGGGCTATTTTTAAAAACTCCCCGGTGACGAGACTTCTTGAATCACAGGAGCGAGAAATGGAAAAGACCTATTAGCTCATGCAGTCTGTCTGCTGGCCAGAGCAGCCCGGGCCCTGCAGCCCAGTTTTTCGTGCTTTAGCTTCCACCTTTCGTTCCCTTGGGAGACTTTCCTGCTGGCAAACATGGCCCGTGCTCAGGTTCGTGCCTGATGTCATGTTGGAAAGGGAAAATGCCCAGCACTGGCCTCAGCTGGCTGAGGGGTTTAAGGTTGGTCTGTGGGATGGGGTCAGGGCGAGTGGGTGGGCACTGCCCTGCTCAGACCCCGGGGCGCTGCTCCGTGGGCATCCCTGGGAAGGGACCTGTCCTGCTCCAAATCCCGCAGCTTTCCCTGAGCTGATGCCGTGCTGGCTCTGCGGCTCATGAACGAGATGGACAGACCAGCTTTGGACAGGCTAATTAGCCCTGCAGCACCACTGCTAATTGGTTTTTAGGCTGAAATGGCACAGATCTGCCTGCAAACATCCCTTCATCCCGAGAGCCTCCTGCACGTCCACGTGGTGCCCACCTGCAACCCCCCAGCTGTGCTTCCCCCAGGATGATCCCTGAGCACCATGGGGGGAGCTTGGATGATGCTGGGGGTTCCCATGGGTGCTGGGGGTTCCCATGGGTGCCAGGGGCTCCCGTGGGTGCTGGGTGCCCGTGACCTGCCCACCTAAAACACCCAAACCACGAGGTGCCCTCGATCCCTCACAGTTCTGGGCTCTGCCCCAGCCTTATCTGCCTCGAGTAATCACAAATAATTGGTGGCTCCCCAGTGCACTGATCTAATAGCAGCACGAATAAAGTTATTTTGAACAGTTGTTCATGAGTTCATCTCCTGGAAAGCCTCAGCCCCAGCTGTTGCTGCGCTTTTGATTAAAAAAAAAAATAAAATAATATATTAAACTCAACCCGGGGATTATCGGGGCTAAGCACGTCTCAGCCCTCCCTCCTCCCCGTGTCAGGTGCCCGGCCGGGCTATAAACCCCTCTTTGTGTGCGGCTCCCTCGCCCCTTTCTCCCGGAGCTGGCAGCGGCCCCGCCGGGATTTGGCAGCTCTCCGGGATGCCAGCGCGGGGTGCTGGCAGTGCCGCCGGCTCGCGGGTGCCCGGGCCCGCCTGGCAGCAGCTTCAGCATCCAAATGGTCGCCCAGGCCTCCGGCCAAGTCCATTTGTTAATGGTCAAGCTATGGGGAGCTGTTCGGGGAGCAGCAAATTGAATTAGGCACGAGCAGGGAAAAGGGAGGCAGGGAGGGAGGGAGGGAGTGCGGGTGGGATGGGGAGGAACCGTGCGGGTCTCCAGCCCGGAGAAGAGGGGGTGGCACTGAGGGAGCTCGGGGACAGTGTGACGGTGAGGGACCTGCAGCAAACACGGGCACAGACGTGTCCCCAAAGCCCCAAAGTGGGGGTGTCCTGCCTGGGGCAGCTGAGCCCCGGCACCCACACAGAGCCCGCAGCCTGTGGAGCAGCCGGGCAGTGGGATGGCCCTGGAACCAGGGACCCACAGCCCGTCCCTGCAATAACCCCCTCCCAGGGACGTGCCTGTCACCCCGCGCAGGTGCCCGGGGACCCTCCCAGGACACCTTCCCGGTGTCCAGCCCCAGCTCCTGCTCCCAGCCGGCCCCATCTGGTTGCTGCCACAGCAGACTCGCATCAGCCTTGTCGCTCCAGCTCCCAAGCTCTGCAGGCTCCAGGCTCTGCTTTTCAACCACCCCAATCTCTGTCCTGATCTCTCCGAGAAGGCAGGAGAGCGTAGGATGGGAATGTCCCCTCTCCCCTCTGCAGAGGTGGCCGCAGGACCCCGGGCCGAGCGCGGGGCCAGGCGTGGGAGCTCAGCTCCAAGGAATCAGCGCCGGAGCAGCTCGTCTGGCTCCTCTGCCAGAGCAGGGATGAGTTCAGCTCCCACCTCCTGCTCCACGCCTTGGCCAGGACAACCTGTGCTCTGGCAGCAGCGGGTTCAGGACGGGTGGGAGATGGTGCCTTGCCCCCCTCTCCCCAACACCCCTGTGCCCAGGGCAGCTGTCGGGATGGGGGGACAGCGGTGCCACAGCCTCCTCCCCCACCAACATCTGGGTGCACTCGGTCTGATCCCAGCACAAAATCCAGCTGGACACACGTCCCAGCAGCTGGACAGACACAGACACAGGATGGGAGGGGGTGGGGGTCACCCCCTTCCCACATCAGCTCAGCTCTGTCTGCCTGCAAAATCCCGCGCCCAGACCCCTCTGGAAGGGCTGGATTAGCAGCCTGGAGGTTTGGAGAAATTCCTGCTGAGGCAGAACAAGCAGAGAGGGCCTGTCCTGCACATTTGGGATGTTCTTGCCGAGCTGGGATAATTAGAGAGAGGACACGGACAATAAGGAAGGGTTTCACACTTAACTTCCCTTGTCCAATCAATTAGGTAAGAACAGAGTTATTCCACACAGCCACCCGAGGAGGTCCCTCCTCCTCCTCCTGGATAATGACAATTTTAAAAGCAGAGCAACCAATAATTGTCCAAAGACTGGGAAAACTTGGGAGCAATGCAGTGAAAAAGGGAAAATGGGATCAAAAACCAGCGAAAATGGGATCAAAAACCAGCGAAAATGGGATCAAAAACCAGCAAAAATGCTTGATAGCACCAAATCCTCAACATATTTAAGGCTGAACACGCAGAACATTGTCTTAAAATTAAACTATAGGGTTGAAGATAAGGAGATGGGCAGTTGGTCATCATTGTACCAATTAAGATATTAATTCACAATCTCTGAGTCTTCTTCTCTAATTCTCTTCCCTGTTTCGAAACTAAAGACACTGTACCAAAGCAGTGCAGGTTTCTGGAAGCCAGTTCCACCCAGATCCCCCCCTCTCCTGGCTTTCTCCCCATGGCTCTTATTTTCCTTTTCAGCATCAGCATCTAAACATCTGGGTCGTGGTGGAGCTTAGAGCTGGAAGCGACACAATATAGTGAGAAAGGATGTTTTTGTGCTATTTCCAACCTTCCCAGAACAGAGACCTTCAGAAAGCCCCTCACAAAGGCTGCTTTCTTCCTCCAGCTACTTTGAAAAGCTGGGTGAGATCCTCGGTTATCTGCCTAGACCAGGGTAGTACAAGACAGAGACGATCAAAAAGGAGGGGGAAGGGGCGACAAAAACCACGGCCAAGTGTTTTTTTGGTGGTTTTGTTTGTTTCTTTTTAGCTTCTTTTGGTTAAAACTGGAGTTTTGGAGCAGCTCCAGCCTCCTCTGTGCTGGGGGATGATGGGGGATCTGACTGATTTACTAAAGATCCTCACTGATGTTAGAATTCTGCTTTTTCCCCATATTAAAATTTCTCTTGTTTTGGATAAAATGGTGAATCAGAGTAAATATGGGGGGGGAGGGATGTGTAAAGAAGGTTGACTGCTCAGCACACCCTGGGCTCAGCTGTTGGAAAAACCAGTCCCTCTGAGCATCCCTTCCCAGCAGCCAAAATCCTTGGGCAAGCTCAGTGGGCACCAAAGCTGGTTTGGGAACGGGGCAAACTGTCCCAGTTTCCCTCCTCCATCCTGAAATGCCCTCTGAAGAGAGGAAGGGCCATGATTTGGGTCTCCTTGAACTCTGCCCCAGGGGTGAGGGTGATGCTCAGCTCAGCCCCTTCTCCCACCTGTTCGGGTGCTCCTGCGCCTGCAGGACAGACCCAACGCCCACACCAAAAATGATGGGGGTCCTGCTCCTTCCTCTTGTCCCATCCTGGGTCCAGAGGTTCCTCTGGCTGCTCCAAGGAGCTCACTTGGAGCCAGTTGGAGGGGCTGCCAGCGGGAGCGGCGCTGCCAAGCGCGACGCGCTGCGGTTCTTTCAGAGGTGGAGTCTGTCTGCCCAGCCTGGCTGGGGCTCAACTATGTCCCTGTGATCTCCACCAACGCTTCACCTCCTTCCACACATCCCCCCAGCTAATCCCCAGCTGCCCAGGGCCAGGCCTCCATTTTCCAGTTTAGGAACCGGATCCTCTTTGCCTCCCCCCAGCCCGCGGGCGAACGTCTGTGCAGGGCAGGTTGTCCCCACGGGGAAAGTTCCTGTCCTGATCTCTTCCCCCCCTTTTTCTTCCTGCTTTGCACACCAGAACCAGAGCAGAGCTGAACAGCAAAGTCCTCTCCTTCCACCTCCAGCCCTCACCCATCCCCACTGGACTCAGGCTCACTCCCTCAGTCCTTGGAGACTGAGCTCCACATTCTCCCACAGCACTGGGAAGGCTCCCGGCTGCATCCCCTCTGCTCCCTCTCCCACCTCATTCTCCCTTTTGGAGTATAATCCCCTGTCAGGAATGCTTGGAAATGCCAGGTTTTGTTGCCATACAAAGCTGCATCCCAGAGCTGCTCGAAGCAACACCCAAACAGCAGGAGCAGGGACAAGGAGAAAGGGACAACATGGATAAAGTCCCTCTGGAGGAACTTCTTATGGTCCCGAGGATCCTCACAGTGGAACCCATCTGTAGAACCAGCCAAGCCTCCCCATGGCACCCCAGCCCCTGCCAGAGCCATGGGCCAGTCCCTGAGGGTGCAGGACCCCCAGGAGGGCACAGCACCTTCAGCACATCCCTGGAGAAGAGCACAGGGATTCAGGGAACACGAGTGGGGCAGTTCTAACCCTATTTGGCAGAAGAAAGCACCCCCCCCTCCCTGCCAGGGGTCCCTGCCCACAGCAAGCCCAGGTACCAAGTGGGCAGGGACATGGAGAAGCCCTAACCCAGCCCCAAGGCCACCTCAGCACCCGAGGTTCCCAATTCCCAGGTACTGGAAAACCAGGCGCCGTGGCTTTTGTAGCACATCCCTTCCTGCAGGCAGCCCCAGAACATATTTTATCACACACATAATCTCACAGGAAAAAAAATAAAAAAATCCCCTCGTCTCCGAGATTCCCAGACAGTACACTCAGCATCCTCATGCTACTGATGTCATCCTGCAGGAAGGTCCCTTGGGCCCGGCCTTGCTAAGCCGGAGCTGCTCTGAGCCCTCGCCCGCACACGGAGCTGGGCAGCCCCCA